GCATCCATGTTGCTGCAAAGGACATGATTTCATTAATTTTTTACGACTGTGTAATATTCCATGGTGTATATAGGTGTACTACATTTTCATTATCCACTATTGGTTGTTGGGCATTTAGGTTGATTTCATATCTGCAATTGTGACTAGTGCTGCAAAGAGCATGCGGGTGCAGTGTCTTTGTTATGTAAGGATTCTGTTCCTAGTAGTGAGATTGCTGGATCAAATAGTAGATCTACTTTGAGTAATCTCCATATTGCTTTCCATAGAAGTTGTGTGATTTTGCACTCCCACCAATAGTGTATAAGTATTCCACAGGGATATTTTAAAAAATGTGTACAATTCCAGGTTATTTTTATCACGTGATATTACTTAGTATATTATTTTGCTTTAAAAAATTTTAAAACAGCCAGGCTCGATGGCTCAGCCTGTCATCATGTGCCTTTGGGAGGCTGAGGTGAGTGGATTGCCTGAGCCTGAGGGTTCGAGACCCGCCTGGGCAACTTGGCGAGACCTCATCTCTACAATAAATCAAAAATTAGCCGGGCTTGGTAGCGCACGCCTGTAGTTCCAGCTACTCGGAAGGCTGAGGTGGAAGGATCGCCGGAGCCCAGCAGGCGAGGCTGTGGTGGCTGGGAGCGACTACTGCACTCCAGTCTGGGCGACAGAGTGAGACTCCAACTCAAAAAAAAAAAATTTTTTTTTAGATTTCAGATGCAGCAGATATATATAAGAAATAAATCAATACAATTATCAAATACTTGTAATAAAATCAAGCAGTAGAGAAGTATATAACATAAAGTCCTCTTTTTCTTCCTTCATTATACCGCCTTTCAGGTCTAGAAGTAACCACTGCTAGTAATCAGTATGAGTTCTTTTGAACATGCAAGTTTTTTTTTCTCCTTTAATGATAAAAATAATACTGTGATATACATATTATTTGGAACCTTGCTTTTTAAACGTAATGTGGTAGACATCTTTTAAGGCAGTACACATAGATCTGTATCACAAAGGACTAGTATTCCTTTGTATAGAATCATATTACAAAGTTGTTTCTTATTGTTGTACATTTTTGTTATCCCTCCCTTTTTTGCTATTATAAGTATTGATGCAGAGGATACCTTTTGTGCACTAATGAGGGTTTACCTACAAGTTGCATCAAAAGTGAAAGTACTATATTAAATTTTTAACAGATACTACCAAGTATCCTCTTAAAAATTTGTATCAGCTGGGCTCGGTGGCTCAGCCTGTAATCCCGCGCCTTTGGGAGGCTGAGGTGAGTGGACTGCCTGAACCCACAGGTTCGAGACCCGCCTGGGCAGCGAGACCTCACCTCTACAATAAATCAAAAAATTAGCCGGGCGTGGTAGCGCATGCCTGTAATTCCAGCTACTCGGAAGGCTGAGGTGGAAGGATCGCCGGAGCCCGGCAGGTAGAGGCTGCGGTGGCCGGCAGCGGCCACTGCACTCCAGTCTGGGTGACAGAGTGAGACTCCAACTCAAAATAAATAAATAAATAAATAAAATTTGTATCAAGACCAGCCTGGGTAACTTGGCAGGACCTTGTCTCTTAAAAAAAAAAAAAAATTGTATCAATGTACCCTCCCATCAGCAGTGTGTGAGAATGTTCATTCCTGCCATTATACTGGATGTATTATCAATCTTATTCTTTACTACTTTGAGAAAAAATATTGTTTTTATATGAACTTCTTATTAATGGGCTTCAGTATATTTTCATAACATTTATTGGAGTTTTAAGTTTTTCAACAATTGTACATTTGTATTTTTTGCTGTTTTGTTTTTTGTTTTTTTTTTTGAGTTGGAGTCTCACTCTGTCACCCAGACTGGAGTGCAGTGCGCTCCCGGCCACTGCAGCCTCGACCCACTGGGCTCTGGCAATCCTTCCACCTCAGCCTTCCAAGTAGCTGGAACTACAGGTGCGCGGTACCACGCCCGGCTCATTATTAATTTTATTTTATTGTAGAGATGAGGTCTCGCCAAATTGCCCAGGTGGGTCTCAAACCTGCGGGCTCAGGCAATCCACTCACCTCAGCCTCCCAAAGGCGCAGAATTACAGGCTGAGCCACCGAGCCCGGCTTTTTTACTGTTTTGAACATACTTTTTTTTTTGGTTTTTTTTTTAGTACGAGTCTTATTCTGTTGCCCAGGCTAGAGTACAATGGCACACTCACGGCCACCACAGCCTCGACCTGCTGGACTCAGGTGATCATTCCACTTCAGCCTTCCAAGTAGCTGGAGCCATAGGTGCATGCCGTCACACTGGGTACTTTTTAAAAAATTTATTGTAGAGATGAAGTCTTGCCAAGTTGCCCAGGCTGGTTCGAACCCCTGGACTCAGGCAGTTTCTTACCTCTGCTTCCCAAAGTGCTGGGATTACAGGTGTGAGCCACCACAACCCAGTTTGAACATGCATTTTATATATTATAGATAACCCTTTGTTTTATGTGTATATATATATATATATATATATATATATATATATATATCTGCCTTTTGTGTTTTGACTTTATGAAAAATCTGGTAGTTGAGTAAATTTTAAACTAAATTTCTACTTTCATGGTCTGTCTTAGTCTTATTGAAAGTGTATTTTGCATCTTGAGTTTGAGTTGTATGGTGTCTTTCTAAGATTTTTGAACTCTGTTTAAAGTTTCTAACCAGGCATGGTGGCTCATGCCTATAATTTCAGGACTTTGAGAGACTGCAGCAGGAGGATCATTTGAGGTCAGGAGTTCAAGATCAGCTTGGGTAACAAGACCTTGTCTCTACACAAATAAAAAAGTTAGCCAAGCACAGTGGCATGCACCTCTAGTCCCAGCTACTTGGCAGACTGAGGCAGAAGGATTGCTTGAGCCGAGGAGTTTTAGGCTGTGGTGAGCTATGATCATGCCATTGCACTCCAGCCTGAGTGACAGAGTGAAATCTTGCCTCAAAAATAAAATAAAGTTTCTAGACTTGATTCAGTATGTGGTGTTATTATAGTCTACAAATTAGAATTTCTTTTTTTTTTTTGGAATTGGAGTCTCTGTCGCACTCAGGCTGGAGTGCAGTGGTATGCTCATCGCCACCGCAGCCTCATGCTGCTGGGCTCATTTCCACCTCAGCCTTCCAAGTAACCAGAATTATAGGCATGTGTCACCATGCCTGGCTGATTTTTTTTATGTTTTATTGTAGAGATGAGGTCTCGCCATGTTGCCCAGGCTGGTCTTGAACCCATGGGCTTAGGCAATCCTCTCAACTCGGCCTCCCAAAGTGCTGGGATATAGGCATGAGCCACTGCACCTGGCCCAAATTAGAATTTCTAATTAACATTCTATGAGCATCTGGTCACTGAATAATCTTGAGACTTAGTCTAGAAATAGTAGACCTTGCTTTACAATAATCCTTAATAGGCCTTATATTAACTGTCTTGAATACTAGCTATCTACCCTTTCCCCTTTGGAAAGATGAAAGAGACCATTTCAAATAGAGATGAAAAGTTTTTCATCCCTTTAGTCCAAATATATTAAGAGTTGATTAATACCAGGTATAAGCAAATTTGCTAGCAGTTTAAATTTCTGGAATTATGCCAACCAACACACTAAGACTCTTTTGCTTTATTACAGAAGCCAACATCAGTTTCTTGTTATAATTGCACTTTTTTTACAGGTCTTGTCTTGAACTGCTTTGAGAGCTATAAACAAATTTAGTGTCAATTTTGGAGAGTTTTTTCCCTCAGACTTTCATACTTCCCATTTTAATGGAACTGTACTCTGAAGGTATACTCTTTCATTTAAGTAATAGTTCCAAAATCAGCATTATATTGTGACTGCTTTATAAACACTTAACATTTTGATTTATTTAAATCTTGATGGTATATATACATAAATAATTGGGCTAGAAGTAGGTACCTTTGATTATTCTGGAACTTCAAGTAAATACTGTATGAAAAGTCTCCTTCTGTCTCAACAAATTCTGCCCCTCAGCTCACTGTTCAGGTAAGTTTCCTTGCCTTGGATGTATTAGAGGAAGTTTATTATTTATTTGACTCCCCACCCCCATATCTTTTTGCCTAAGTGGTAATTTGTGTCATCCAAAGAGTTTTTATTAAATCCCTATGTTTAAGTGATACCTTGAGTGTGAAAAGCAAGTCTGAAATGGGTTTCTTTGCCTATAAGAAAAAGGCCAGGTATGGTGGCTTATGCCTATAATCCTAGCACATTGGGAGGTCATGGTGAGAGGATTGCCTAAGCCCACAGGTTCAAGACCAGCCTGGGCAGCTTGGTGAGACCTCATCTCTACAATAAATCAAAAAATTAGCTACTTGGAAGGCAGAGGTGGAAGGATCACCTGAGCCCAGAAGGTCGAGGCTGCAGTGGCCATGAGCCTGCCACTGCATTTCAGGCTGGGTGACAGAGTGAGACTCTGACTCAAAACAAAAACAAAACAAAACAAAAAACCCAAAAACTACAACTAATCTCAAAGACAGTAAAGAGAAACAGATGGCATATTTTTTGAACAGGAAGAATTTACATAATGTTAGCATTAAGGGAAAATACTAAGTTTCTAATTCCTGATCTTGCTTGGAATTCTAAGTTTATCTGTGAAATATATCGTGGTTTCTATGCAGGATAGATCCATTCTGAAAAAATATGTAAGAACTATTAGCTCAAACTGTAGTCAAATTGATTAAACAAATCCCTACATTAGAAAGAACAAGCTGGGCTCGGTGGCTCAGCCTGTAATCCCACGCCTTTGGGAGGCTGAGGTGAGTGGATTGCCTGAGCCCGCGGGTTCGAGACCCACCTGGGCAGGCGAGACCTCATCTCTACAATAAATCAAAAAATTAGCTGGGCGTGGTAGTGCATGCCTGTAGTTCCAGCTACTTGGAAGGCTGAGGCGGAAGGATCGCCGGAGCCCAGCAGGTCGAGGCTGCGGTGGCCGGGAGAGGCCACTGCACTCCAGTCTGGGCGACAGAGTGAGACTCCAACTCAAAAGAAAAAAAAAAAAGAATGAGCCATACTTCAATTTATTGGCAATGTCAATTTATGAACAAGACAGGTATTTTTTTTCATGAAGTGAGATCTTTTTCAATCTGCCATAACATGTGCCCACACATCTTCACCTTGTAAATGTAGCATTTCAAGTTCGGGGTAGATTATTCCTTTTTTACTTTCACAATTTTTACGCTGATGCTAGAAGTCTTCTCAGCGTTTGCTTTGAATTCTGTCTTCAGTGCATCTCTCACTGCTTTTGCACAGATCTGTGAGTATCGGATATAACTGAGTCCAGCCTGTTGCCAGTATGCCACCATTGTGTCACGAGAGCAGAGTGCATCGGGCCAAATCGCTCCATCTTGCCTTCTTAAGTTAGATTCTCTGGCCTTCAGTCCAGATTAGGCACCCAACCAAGTGAAACATTTTTATTTTATTTTTTAAATGGTAGCCAGTAGCCATACGTAGCTATTTATTTATTTATTGAATCTCTGTCATCCAGGCTGGAGTGTAGTGCCACGATCCTGGCTAACCACAGCTCAAACTCCTTGGGCTCAGGTAACCCTTCTGCCTCAGCCTCCCAAGTAGCTGGGACTACAGGTGTGTGCCAGCGTGCCTAGCTAATGTTTTAAAAAAATTTTGTAGAGATGAGGCCTCATTTTGTTACCCAGATTGGTTTCAAACTTCTGAGCTCAAGTAGTCCTGTCACCATGGCTTCCAAAGTGCTGAGATTATAGGTATGAGCCAAAGTCTTTTTCATAATAATGGCAATGTTTAATAGTGATAGTAAAAAAATAAGAGAGAGAGAGCAGTGTTTGCTGGACACCAGGAATAAGTGCTTTGCATGTTCATATAGACACCAATCCTAGGCACAAAGAGGTTATTTAACTTACTTTGTGTCATAAAGCTGGTAAGTGGTAGGACCAGGATTCAAATGCAAGCAGTTTGGTTCTAGGGTCCATGTACTTAGTCACCATTCTATTGCTTGTTATTAATTTAACCATGTTGCAATTATTTGTTTGTGTCTATACTACTTCTCATTAGAATCTTAAGCTATGATTCATTCTTTTTCACTTGTGATTATCTGTGGTATCTGACCAGAGCAGGCGCTCAGTAAATATTTATTAAATGAACTGAAGAAAAATCTAGATAAATGGAATGTCTGTCATGCAGTAGTTCCCCCTTGTCCATAGGGGAAGCATTCTTTTTTTTTTTTAAGGTCACCAGCCACCTGTGTCAGTTTCACCTTGCTCTGCATGCATGCTCAGTGCTGTGCATGGCAGGCTGGGAGTATGGTATAGCCAAGGTTGTGGCGGGGAGGTGGGGGAAATGAACGCATTCACCAAGACAATAATGAGCTAAAGAAAGACAAATTTATTAAAGAGAACATACATTGTGAAGGGCACAATGGGCAGGCAGCAGCAAGAATGTTTGCTATCTACTGCCAAAGCAGTGATTTTTTTTTTTTTTTTGAGTTGGAGTCTTACTTTGTCACCCAGGCTGGAATGCAGTGGCACACTCATGGCCACTGCTACCTCGACCTGCTGGGCTTAAGTGATCCTTCTGCCTCAGCCTTCCATATAGGTGGAACTACAAGAGCACGCCACCATGCCCAGCTAATTTATTGTAGAGATGAGGTCTTGCCAAGTTGCGTAGGCTGTTCTCAAACCCCTGGGCTCAGGTAGTCATCTCACCTTGGCCTCCCAAAGTGCTGGGATTACAGGCTTGAGCCACCAAACCCAGGGAAAACATTCTAAGACCCTCACTGGATCCCTGAAACCACAGATAGGACCAGAACTTACACTACACTGTGTTTTCCTATCTGTACATATGTCCATATCCGTACATACCTATGATAAAGTTTAATTTACAGAGTATGCACAGTAAGAGATTAACAATAGCTAATTAAAAAAATAGAACAATTTAAAAGTAAACTTTTATAAAAATTACATGATGTTTTCTCTCATTACATATGTGTGTGTGTATACACACACACACACACACACACACACACACACACACACACACACACACTTTTTTTGGTTGGAGTCTTACTCTGTTGCTCAGGCTAGAGTACAGCGGCATACTCACAGCTACTGCAGCCTCTACCTGCTAGGCTCAGGCAATCCTTCCACCTCAGCCTTCCGAGTAGCTGGAATTATAGGCACATGCTACCATGCCTGGCTAATTTTTTTGAATTATTGAAGAAACACAGTCTCCCCAAGTTGTCCAGGCTGGTCTTGAACCCATGGGCTCAGGCAATACTCTCACCTCCCAAAGTGCTGGGATTACAGTGAGAGCCACTGCACCTGGCTGGATTCTTAACAGTGTTTTAAATATTAAGAAAATGAAGAACTTAAAATAGTTGTAAATTATTTAATTTCAGGTTAAGTGGAGAGGAAACACTGATTCCATAGTGTTACATGATATTATACTATTATACTGTTCTTCAATGCTTAGCTGGAAGAGCTAGTTATTCTCCAAATGTATGCTAACTTTTTTTTCAAGGCGTTAATAGAAATTGATGTTTTTCTGCTACACTGGAAAGAAGAGGCTCACAGCAGGAGGGCATCACAGGCCTCTCTTTACACTAAGCCCTGCCAGATGCCAACGGAATCATTATCTTGGTAAACCTGTAATCCATATTTGGATTTGCCATAGAACACCATTAGGGAAGTACTGCTGTAAATAGTTTCATGTCATTAGCCTTATAAAGAATCTGAGGTTCTAGCCAGTGTTCATTTTATTTACTTGTGGCTTTTCTTTTGCTTTTTTCTTGATCCCTAGATCTTTGTCAATTTTATGTGTTTTTCAAAAAAAAAAGGAGCTAACGTTTGCTTTGTAGACCTCAGTTGAATATTTTCTGTTTCTTTAACGTCCACTCTCATCTTTATTATTCATTCCCTTCTGCTTCTTTTGGGTTTATTTTGCAGGTTTTCAAAAACTCCTTGAGATGACTGTTTCACTTATTAATTTTCAGCTCATCTTTCTAGTGTATGCATTTAAGTCTGAATTTTGATCCTAAAAATGTACTGCTTTTCCTGCATCCCATACTTTTTTGGTTTGTTTGTTTTTGAGGAACTTCTCCAAGTAGCAGTTAGGGTACTGCTGTTGCTTTCCTCTTTTTGTTGATAACTTTGTGAATGTAGGTGTAGTGTTGATGTACTGTGAACTGTATATGATAAATTGTATACTTTGACAAACTTTTTTCCTAGGTGTAATTAGGGTAATGAACGTATCCATCACCCCAGAACAATATCTTCTGCTGCTTTGTAATATATTCCTCCTCTTTTCCATCCTCTGTCCCCAGGCAGCCACTGGGATTTGCTTCCATGTTTTTTTTTTTTTTTTTTTGAGTCGGAGTCTCACTCTGTCGCCCAGACTGGAATGCAGTGGCTGCTCCCGACCACTGAAGCCTGGACCTGCTGGGCTCTGGCGATCCTTCTGCCTCAGCCTTCCAAGTAGCTGGCCTATTTTTGATTTATTGTGGAGATGAGGTCTCGCCAAGTTGCCCAGGTGGGTCTCGAACCCGTGGGCTCAGGCAATTCACTCACCTCAGGTTCCCAAGGTGTGGGATTACAGGCTGAACCACCGAGCCTGGCTGCTTCCACGTTTTTAAGCATGTAGTATTTTTTATCATTCAGTTAAGAATATTTTCTGATCTCTGACTGATGCAATGTTTAGAAGTACTAGAGATTTTCTGGGTTTCTTTTTTAAATTTAATTTCTGCTTTAATTGTCTGATGATCAGCAAACATACTGTATGATGTCAGTTTTTTGGACTTTATGACTTGCTTTATGGCCCAAGTTATGGTCAGTTTTTAATATGCTTGTGTGTTCTGGAGTTATTGAGTATGTTTTATATGTCTTATCAAGTTTGCTAATTTTGTTTAAATTTTCATTGTTACTGATTTTCCTCCTGCTTGTTCTGTCAGTCATTGATTAACGTTTGTATCATATATTTTCTCATTCTTCACCTTCATGCTCACTGAATCCTTATGTTTTAGATCTTTCTTGTGCAAATAACCCATTGGATTCAATGTGAATATCTATCTTTTTTGTTTGTTTGTTTTTGTTTTTGTTTTGAGTTGGAGTCTCACTCTGTTGCCCAGACTGGAGGCAGTGGCCGCTCCCGGCCACCGCAGCCTCGACCTGCTGGGCTCCGACGGTCCTTCCACCTCAGCCTTCCGAGTAGCCGAAATTATAGGCGCGCGCTACCACGCCCGGCTAAGTTTTTGATTTTTATTGTAGAGATGAGGTCTTGCCTGCCCAGGTGACCTCGAATCCGCGAGCTCAGGCAATCCACTCACCTCAGCCTCCCAAAGGCGCGAGATTACAGGCTGAGCCACTGAGCCCGGTTTATCTATCTTTTTAAAAAGTAGTTAACCCATTTTCATTTAATGTATCTACTGTTAATTTGACTTTAAGTCTTCTATATTATTATGTGTTTTCTCATATTTTCATCATTTTGAAAGTGGAGGGGTTGTGTTTTGTTGTTGTTATTGCCTTTAGGATATACATGAGTACCCCGGAAATTACAACATGCATCCTTGACTTGAAAGAAAAAAAAATCTGACCAGGCTCGATGGCTCAGCCTGTAATCCCAGCACTTTGGGAGGCCGAGGCGAGTAGATTGCCTGAGCCCGCAGGTTCAAGACCCGCCTGGGCAACTTGGCAAGTCCTCATCTCTACAATAAATAAAAAATTAGTCCGGCATGGTAGCATGCATTTGTGTTCCAGCTACTTGGAAGGCAGAGGCGGAAGGATTGCCGGAGCCCAGCAGGTCGAGGCTGCAGTGGCCGGGAGCATGCCACTGTACTTGTCTAGACGACAGAGTGAGACTCCAATTAAAAAAAAAAAAATCCAGTCTTAACTGATTATTTTACTCTTCTCTTAGACAATATGAGTATATTTTTTTATTTTTGTTGAGCCAGGGTCTCACTGTCACCTATACTGGTTTGCAGTGGCACAATCATGGCTCATCACAGCCTGGAACTTATGGACACAAGCAGTGTACCTTCCTCAGCTTCTCAAGTAGCTAGCACTAAAGGCATACACTACCACACCTGACTAATCTTTAATTATTTGTAAATACAGGGTCTCCTTTGTTGCCCAAGCTGGTCTCGATTTTCTGGTCTCAAGCAATCCTCCTGCCTTGGCCTCTCAAAGTGTTGGGATTACAGGTGTGAGACACCATGCTCTGCCAATGTGGAAATTCTTAAAGTACTTTATCTTCGTTTTTCTTCCTTCTGACTCATATGCTGCTGTTGTGATACTGTTTAATTTTTCTTTTCTTTTTTTTGAGTCAAACTTTTATTCTGTCTCCCAGGCTGGATGCAGTGGAACACTCA